AGCAGCAGCTGGATGCAATAATCGCATGCCAATGTGCATTGGCTCGTTTAGTTTACACTCGAAGTAGATTGGTCTCTCTAAGCGAGATCCCAATTCGTCAGTCATCCGACGTGATGTCGGGAGTGACCGACATGAAAGGGAACATCACTTTATTGACATTAATATTCATTGATTTACTTGATAAATTCACAATAAATGTATTCATATTCAAATGTTATTTTAAATGTAAAATTGTAAAAAAAACAAAAAAACTTCATAAATGTATTTATTTTTATCAATTGTAATTACATTTATATTTATTAATATAATGTAATTTAAAAGAAAATTCACCATATAAATCAACAGCAAAAATGACATAACATTCAAAGTATGAATCAAATAAAAAGTTTTCTTTAAAAAAGTATTTACACCCTTATTATGTGTGAATAAATAACATTTATTGCAAAAATTCACAATACATTTATTTATATTTAAATTTTGTTATACATTTAATTTTATTTTAAAATTAGTTTGAACATTATGTATGTATAGATTATTCTATTATATTAAAATGCATTTATATTTATACATCTATCTTAGATTTGTGATTTTAAAAAATCATCAAAAATCAGTAGCAAAAATTACATTACGCTACAAGTATGAATGAATTAATGGACAAAGTCAATCAAAAGTTGCTATTTAAAAAATATTTAATTATTTACACTCTTACTAGGTGTGAATAAATATTTGCTTATGTTTATAAAATACTTTTTTTATTAAAAATATGTATTCAAATATTATTTTATTACTTTATAAATGTACTTAATTTATAATTACATTCATAAATATTTATCTCAAACCAGTCAATCAAAAGCTGTTTAAAAATAAATAAATAAACAAACAACAACAACAACAACAAAAAACGTACATCCTTATTATGATGCTTTACACATCACAACTTGACAAAATTCTACACTGCACTCAAATGCTGCAATTGTTCGCATTCAAATTTGTCCTAGACCAACATGGACCTGAAGCTAGCAAAGTTATCTTTGACTAAAGATATTTAAACTTTTACTGCATTATAGCTAAAATTTGTCTGTCTGGTGCAATGATGCTTAAAATGAGAAGGATGATTGGGTGGGGGGGGTCATCAAACATCAAAGAGCTTCATCCCTACAACACAACAAAAACATTAAAAGGAGAATGAGAGAAGCTGTCAGGATTACAGAGCCGTGAGGTGCGTGAAGACTGAACGCGCTTGTTTCTGAGAGGGCCACTTTATTTCAGGATAAGCGTGATGAGGAGTCGGAGCCATAGGGGGGGTCTGTCAGACACTCAAATCCCTGCGGAGAGACGTATGTGTTTGTGTGGCCCCTGGGGATACATGTAGAAGTGCCTCTGAGACAGCAAAGCCTTGTGATGTATCAGAGGTGAACAGTCACGGCGCTGACAACACACTAGTGTGACTGCCTGAGCGCTCCCTCACCTCTCTCTCGCTCTCTCTCTCTCTCTCTCTCTCTCTCTCACACACACATACACACATGCAGAATCAATTTAAACTCTTTTACAGAACTGCTTCGACCTAAATAGCACCTTTCCATTATGCCATTTCAACTAAATAAGTCTTGATAACTCTTTGGGGTCAGTAAGATTTTTTTTTTTCCTTTTATTCAGCAAGGACACATTAAACTGGTCAAAAGTGACAGTAAATACATTTAAAATGTTACAAACGATTTCTATTTCAAATAAATGTTGGTCTTTTGAACTTTCTATTCATTAAAGAGTCTTGAAAAAAGGGTTTCCACAAAAATATTCGGCAATTCAACTGTTTTCAGTATTGATAATAATCAGACATGTTTCAGTCACACTTTATTTTAAGGTCCAATTCTCGCTATTAACAAACCATTAACTATGACTTTTACCTCAATAAACTCTTAATTTGCTGCTTAATAATAGTTAGTAAGGTAGTTGTTAAGTTTA